ACAAAGTGCTTCACTAACAATTAAAGCCCTGTACCATTTCTTATCCTTTGAGTACTGGGCTAAACACACGAGATTTGGCCAAACATGTGGCTGGGATGAATTCTTACAGTGCTCCTGAATTTCATCCATTAGTAACTCGAGGTCACGGCTATTTCTACTCAACTGACACCAGAAAACACTAGGATTTTCAACGTATGACAAAATAACACTAACAGTACTTCCCACTTCTAAGTGGCCTCCACAAGAATAACCTGGCTTAATTTCCACATAATTCTGTCTCAAAGACACGTGCAAGTTTCCCTTGCCCTTATATTCCTGAGCAGGAAGAGATTCACTACTTTTAGAACTGTGAATGGCTGCAACAGGGCTCTCTCTGACCATCACAGTGATGTCAGGATCAACTGCTCTATCATTGCTCTTTAGAGCAGACTCTTCTCTAAGCCTCTTCTCTGCATTTATTTGTTTTTCCTCTGCACTAGTTGCTAGGGAAGAGGCCTGTGTCACAGCCTTTTCATCTGAATTCTGGAGAGTCTTGGGTATTTCACACCTCTGGTATTCAGCATAACCTCCCTGGGCCATGAGTTTACTTACTCTTTTCTCTCCTAACTGGGTCTGGTCAAAAATTTCAACCATGTATTTGTCACCCTTCAAACTCAAAAACCAAACCTTCAGTCCCTTGTTCAGCACAATCTCCCGGAACGCAGACACAGAGGCTTCACTCCAAGCCCCTCTCAGAGGGGAGACACCTGCCAAACAACACTTCAGAGCTAGAGCAGGGACTTCCCTGAACCGAGGGAGCAGGTCCTTCACCGCACACCGATCCACAGTTTCCGTACTGCCCCTGTCCACCAGGTGTATTTCCACCCCACTGTCCAGCACCCTGGTGACCACCGCTCGATAAAAGCCACCCTCGTTCCCACTGGCACAACAAAGGGATCCAGGGTGTGGGTCCCACCCAGCACCATCCAGCTTCGTGGCATGGGAGTAGAAATTCCACATGCACTGCCTCAGCTGCCTGAAAAGCTGGTGGTGTTCATTGAGCTGCAGCCAGAACTCAGATGGATCTCGGAGGTAGGAGACCTGTGCACTGTAGAACACACAGGTCTTTAGCTGTACACCAGGTACATCAGCAGAGCCCAAATCTCTGTGCGTTAAGACAGGAGGTGCTTCTGATGACAATTCCAATTCTCCAGCTGAGGATTCTTCTAATGCCAGCTGCCCACGAGCCTTAGTTTGGCTAACCTGCGTACAACTGCTGACCAGGCAGCAAGCCTGAGACCCAAAAAGATGGTTCAAGTTGACGCCGCTTTCCCCATACAGGGTCACATAATAGAGATGCTCAAAGGAGTTAAAGGCTTTGATGCGAGCACTCACTCCTCTGCCTTGCACCAGTGCTTTCAGCATATCGATCTGTGATGAGGACCAGCCACAGCCCCCATCAGAAACACCCTGAAGAGCACACACATAAGTCACCACAGGCATCCGAAAACACTCAGCAGGCAAATGGCGCAAGTTAGCTCTGGTCACAGTCTCCTTCCTGCCATAGTCCACAAAGATCACGAGAGCTGCCTGCTGGTCCTGCTCCCCTGTAATAAGCTCCAGCAGAAGGGCACGGTACCACTGGCCATCCGTGCCACGGGCAGCACAGGGCGAGCCTACCTTGGGCAATAAATCCTGCTCCCACCGGTCATAAACATGGCACATGGTATCAGAAAGGCAACGGATCTCCTGGGACAGGCATTGCAACTGGCAGTAGATGTGATGTGGGTCAGAGACATGGGTCACTAGGACAGGCTCTGTCACACCCAGCTGAAGCTGTGGGTAGAAGTAATCCAAGGCAGGTGACAGGGGCCGATATGACAGCAGCACGTGGAGAAGCTGAGGCACTGCAAAAGCTCCAAGGGAACACGTTGAGGGCTGCCGCTGCCAGAGCCGCTGCTTTAGGTGGCCAAAAGGCAGGCAGCGCCTGAGCACCTGACAGAACCAGACAGCAGAGACCCGCCTGGCCAAGCCCAGCTGCCGCATCTGGGCCACGAGCTGGGGCAGCTCGAGCACGATGAGCTGCGGGGACATCACCTCCTGCACCACACCAGACACCTCCTTGCCGTGCAGGAAGCTGAAAAACTCCATCGCCTCCACCGTCCACTTGGAGACCGGTGAGTCCCCGCAGCCCGTACCCTCAGGGCCTTGGGAGGGCATGACATTGGCCACGACGCAGCCCAGCACCTCCGGCGGCAGCTGGAACAGCTCCGGGCAGCCCCGCGCCAGGTAATAGGCGGACGTGGCCACCACGTACCCCTCGTCCATCAGGAACACGCGGTACCCCTGGGCGCTGCAACTCACCACACAGCAGCGGTACCAGAGCCCCAGCACCTCTACGAGCCCCAATTCACCAGGGCACAGCCCCACTCTGCCGGCCGCCTGCCCGCCGGGCTCGGGGCGGGCCGCCAAGCGCGGCCCCGCCGCCACCTGTATCTCGCGGTGGAGGCGGGCGTAGTCAGCCTTGCGCTCGTCCAGTAGCCCCCAGAGCCTCAGAACGGGCACGTCGGGGCGCAACCCCACGGCACGGACGCGCAGGGTGACAGCGGCGCCGCGGCCGAGCGGCCCCAGCCCGGCGTCCATCACGGGGCCACGGGAGCTCACCGCGCCCTCGCCGCCCGCACGAGGAGAACAACCACCCCCCCGCCTCCCGCGCCCCGGCCTTATATGGGCCACGCGCCGCCCACGTGACCCACGGCCAACCGTTTAGCGGCTGTCCCAGCGGTCGAGCTCACTTCGATCCTCGCGGGGGGGCGGGGGGGGAAAAGGGGTGGAGGGCGCTAATACACAGGGACCGCTCCTGCTCAACCGCGACTGCCCGGAGGCGCCACAAAGAGGAGGGTTATTACGGGGTTATCGCCCTGGCGTCGCGGGGCGCAGCGCAGAGCCCCCAGGAGGTACCCTCGGGCGGCGTGGAGCGCTCCACGTCGGCCAGGTGGCAGCGGGGCGGGGTGAGGGGAGAGGGAGCCAAAGCTGCTCAGCTCCCATTGGCCAGAGAGGCGCCGGAGGCGGGACATGCGGCAGGGCTTGGCGGCTATTGGCCAGTGCGGGCGGCGGTGTGAGGGTGGGGTGCGGCGCGCGGGCGGGGGGGTGCAGTGTGAGAGGGGTTGGCGGTGTGAGTTCACGGGGTGTCAGTAGTGTTTCACACTGAAAAAGAAAGCTTTGTTAAGGATTAAAGCAGTTTTTCACTACCAGACTTTCTAAAGACTTTGTGTGTGTGTGTGTGTGTGTGTGTGTGGTGTCGCCTGAAGGGATCCGTACTGGGGCCAGTGTTACTGATGTCAGGGGAGGGTTAGGTTGGATATTAGAGAAATGTTCTTCACCCAGAGGGTGGTTGGGTACTGAACAGGCTCCCCAAGACAGTGGTCACAGCACCAAGCCTGACAGAGCTCAAAAAGTGTTTGGATGATAATTCTCAGGCATGTGGTGTGACTCTTGGGGACGATCCTGAGCAGGGCCAAGTCAACATATTCTGTACTTCTGTGAATATTTTCTTTAATTATATAGACAAAAAGATCAAGTACACCCTCAGCAAGTTTGCAGATGACACTGAGCTGAGCGGTGCTGTTAACACTCCTGAGGGATGGGATGACATCCAGAGGGACCTGTATAAACATGGGAGGTAGATCCACAGGAACCACGAAGATTTAACAAGACCAAATTTAAGGTGCTGCACCAGGGTCAGGGCAACACCTAGTACGAATTCAGGCGGGGGATGAACAGATCAAGAGCAGCCCTGTCGAGAAGGACTTGGGGGTGCTGGAGGATGAAAAGCTGGACACGACCCAGCCATGTGCACTTGCAGCCCAGAAAGCTGGTTGTGTCCAGGGCTGCATCCAAAGCATGTCAAGGGAGGTGATCCTGCCCCACTGCTCTGCTCTGGTGAGACCCCACCTGTAGTGCTGCCTTCAGCTCTGGTGTCCCCAGAACAGGAAGGACCTCGACCTGTTGGAGTGAGTCCAAAGGAGGCCACCAAGTTGATTAGAGGGACGGAGCACCTCTCCTATGAGGAAAGGCTGAGAGAATTGGGCTTGTTCAGACTAGAAGAGAAAAGGCTTCAGGGTAATCTAGTTGTAGCCTACCAGTACCTGAAGGGAACCTACAAGAAAGATGGAGAGGGACTATTTACAAGAGCATGTAGTGACAGGACGAGGGGGAATGGATTCAGAATAAAAGAGGGTAGGTTTATTAGATATTAGGAGGAAGTTCTTTGCTGTGAGGGTGATGAGATACTGAAACAGGTTGCCCAGAGAAGCTGTGGATGCCCAATCTCCCTGGATTTAGGCTGGAGGTGTTCAAGGCCAGGTTGGATGGGGCTTTGAGCAACCTGTTCCAGTGGAGGATGTCCCTTCCCATGGCAGGGGATTGAAACAAGATGAGCTTTGAGGTCCCTTCCAACCCAAACCATTCTGTGATTCTATGATAAAAATACTTATTCTAACTCAATCAATAGGTACATCTGCATATCCATCAGCAGGGTTATCAGGGTAATGAGATGGCGGGCAGGGATGTAACTGAAGCAGCAGCTTTGCTGGTTTGTCATTGCTGGTGATGGTGTGCAAGGCAAAAAGAACTTGGATTAGTTTCTCAGGGTGTCAACTAGAAAAATATCAGTATTTCTGAAGAAAACCTTCTGACTGATGCACAGGAAGGTGCACCTAAGTATGAGGAGGAACTTCTTTACTGTGCAGTGACCAAGCACTGGAATAGATTGCCCAGAGAGGGTGTGGAGTCTCCCTCACTGGAGATATTCCAGAATCATCTGGACACAATCCTGTGCCATGTGCTCTGGATAATCCTACTTGAGCAGGGATATTGAACCAGATAACCCACTGTGGTCCCTTCCAACCTGACCCATTCTGTGATTCTGTGACTCCCTAATAATGGTGAGATTAATTTTTTCCAACACCCCCAAATGCATAAAGCCACAACAGAGCTACAATAAAATCAAAAAGTATAAGTGCAAGCCAAAAGACATCCAGACTTTATTTAACGAGAAATTGGCACATTGAAGTCACTGGTTGCAAAGATCAGAAGAAATCATGAGTATTTACTCAGAGAGCCAAGTCTTGCACAGTCATTCCATTATTAGATATTACTAAATCAAAGCCAGCTTTGTTCTGTCTACTAATGGTGGCTTTTAATACTGCATTTTTGCCTCTTCATTGCCAAAGATGAACCTAGTGACAAACAGCACTAATCTCCTTCCCTATGAAATCTGGAAGGCTTTAGGTTTCAAAATAAACAAATCACTCCTCTTCAAACATTTTGTGTTTTAAAGAGAATGTTATATTTCCACCAAGATTTAAAGTGGGCAGAGTGCATATTTCCATGGGAAAGTGGTACCTTAATAACCCAGTCTGCCACATCAGCACCGGGACTGTCACGGGACAAGTAGTTCAGCTTGGAGTATCATGAGTCCTTCAAGAGGGGCGGAGTGAACAAGGCTTTTGATTTCTTGGGAACAGGACTGCATTTCAATCATGGATCTACTCATGGTTGAGTACGGAGGTCAGGCAGTCTCTGGGAAGTAAAAGGAACACAAACCCTTCCGCTTTTGGAAGCAGAATCAGATAAACTGCTTTTATCTTTTTCAATACCTTTTTCAGGCTTGGTTTGCTGAGGCATCACACTAACAAGAAGTAGTTCTTTATGTGTGTGCAAACACAATTAATAACAAAAATGCCCAAATAATTTTATAGATGCTTAGCCACAGAAGATGTTCAGTGCTACGTTTTGCTCTTGTCCTTAACAATAGGAACCATCTCTATTGTCAAACAAGCAGACATTATTATATTCCATTTACTTGGTAGACTTTTTCTTTTACCCTGTTTACTGTTTCAGTAAGCTCATGATGGCTGCTAGTTGAAGTATTATTGTGACAATTTTAGTCTGTGCAGATAATATAAATTGCATTTAGCAGTCTGACAACCAAATAGTGTCCTTAAGTCATGGCTGTTTCTAACCAGTAAGGACTGGATTTGGAGAAGCAATGTATACATGGATCCTACTGCCATGTGAAATGAGAATTCAGTTTTTTGATTCTTCTCTGTTTTGCCAATATTGAGGATTTTAAAAAGAACTAACTCCACAGATCCTTCTGATTTGTTCATATGTAAGCCAGAATACCAGCGACCAAGGAGCCTGTGAAAGCAAACACACAAGTTAGAGGCTTAGAACAGAAGTAATCCAATAAGTAAGCCCATTAGATTAACTTGTCTCCTCTTAAAAAATTACATTCTTAAGTTCAATCTCATGTTGCACTGGTTCCCAGAGAGGTTGTGAACTTCTCATCCCTGGAGGTGTTCAAGGCCAGGTTGGATGGGGGTCTGAGCAGCCTGGTCTAGTGGAAGGTGTCCCTGCCCATGGCAGAAGGTTGGAACCTTATCTTTAAGGTCCCTTCCAACCCAAACCATTGTATGATTCTATGATTTTGTCTTTCATACAAAAATCATAACATTATATGTGATTAGGCCTACCAAATCCTTCACAAGACACCTAAACCTCTTTCTTTTTTCAGCTTGCCAACTCATGAATGTTTGACCTGAAATGTTTCATACTTGTGGGCTACTTCGGGCTGAATGCTTTTTAAATTTTTTAAAGGGTTTACGTGTTCTAAAACCTTAATCAGAAAACGACAAAGTTTGCTTTGCATAAAATGTATATCCTGCACCCATTTAGTTGAGATGCTCTTTGGGTTTTTTTGTTTGTTTGTTTGTTTTTTATTTCTTTTTAATTCTTATGGACTTAAAAAAGGTAATCACATGTAAATTTGCTTTTAGGAATTGCCCTTTGCTCAAACTAACAGCAGAGTTCCAGTTCCCAGGCTCCAGTTACTGCTGCCTGGCTTAATTGTAGAACTGGAGCTTTAACAGCCCAGCAGTGTACAGGAGAAAGGTTGCCAGCCTGAATACAAGAGGGGTGAAAATGAGACCCAGGAGGGAGAAGAAAGTAATTCTGGGATCAAGAGAGAAGGAGGAATGAAAGTATGAGGCATGCAAAGGTTGTCCAGGGCTGGGAGTAAGAAGGGAGCATTGGAGAGTTTGGGGAAGGGAGAAAGGAAGGAGCCTGAAATTGTAAAAACAGAAAGGAAACTGGCTAGCAATTAAGCAGGACAATGTTTTCCAAATTAAAGAGGTATAAAATGCAACATGAGAGAAGTGACCCTACATGCAGCTGTGTAATGCACTACATTCGGCTATGCTAACTGCAATTAAAGAAACTGAGAGACTCAAATAGTGTTGAGGAAGAAACTCCTCACATTTTAATGCTAGTTGTTCTTGTAAAGAGAGTTAAAAGGCACATACCATTCGCATCCAGGTTGGTATAAAGCCTTTGTACAGAGACATAAACCCTTCACCCTGGACAGTTTGAATCAAGCAGTCCATGGAAGACTTATATAGCAGACCCCTAGGAATGTGCAAGGAAAATAAACAGTGTTAGGATTACAAATGTGCAATTTTTAAAAAATCACATCCCCCTCATAAAAATAATTTGTTGCTGATATTTCTTTACAAGCAAAAGCTCTTTTGTAAGCTCCTTGGAATCTAATCAGAACTGAAATCCACTGGAGTAACTGGCTATGCTTAGGTTGCCATCACAACAACACCCTGCAGACATTTACTAAATCAGTAAAATCATCAACAGAAAGATGAAGAGCAAATCATAAACTTAGCACTTTGCTTCCAGTGAAATCGGTGAGATTTAGGGTTTTCATTTTGCTTCTGAAAAGTTGGTGCCCGAAGTGCCCACACCTTCCCTGCTTGTCTCTCGGCTGGTTCATTATCCGGGTTTTGACCACGTCAGCAGGGGTTCCCAGAACAGCTGCTACCAGGCCAGAACAGACACTGCCAACAGCAACAGATACTTAAAGAAGAAACCAAGATGTATCATGACAACTGTAGCATTGTGATTCCAGTTCTTATAATAGAGATATATTACAACAGTTATCATAAAATCATGAATAATAACTTGTAAAATAAACTTGGCTTGGGAGAAGGCTTGCTAGTATTGCTCTTGCTGAGATGTCCTCCCAGCTGCCCTCACCTCTGTGTGCTGTTCTGAGGCAGGAATGAAGGACCTACAACACGCAATTCATTATATTGTTTCTATAAAGTAGATTTCTTCATCATTTAAGGGAATAAAAGAGATTGTTCTGCAGGGGTTATATGGCTGTGCCCCCACAGATGAGAGCAAAGGTGTTTAAAAGCACCAGCAAGGCACTTGTAGTGAGGGCAGTTTTGTAGCAATAATTGCACATCCTTTCTCTTGTGTCTTTTGTAAAGTGATGCTCTCTTGGGAAAAAAAATAAAATTCTAAAGTTGCATTTTATCAACAGTATCAAAATCAAAGAATAGAGGCTTCTGCTGACACAGAGAGGCAGATGAAGACAGCGAGACTGGAAATGCTCTACAGTGGAAAAGGGGTAATCAGGGAATACAGCACCTGGAAACACTGTGAGTCACACTGTTGTCCACAAGTGGCGTGTTCAGAAGCAAGAAGTGTTTCACTGTGTCGTAAGTGGTCAGATCTGTAGAGAGGATAATGAGAAAAAACAATACTGTCAGAAGCAAATGGTGTCTATGCTGTTCATGGCATAGGATGTTCATTTCCAGTGCAGCTCCTCCCATTGGCACAGCTGGCACTCTGCCCCCAGGTTCTGATGATGATTGTGGCACCTAAGTCCTGTCTTTAGACGTGTGAGCACATGCCACTTGGATCCTCACAAGTCTATGGGACCAGATGGGATCCACCCAAGGGTGATGAGGGAGCTGGTGGAAGAGCTCGCCAAGCCTCTCTCCGTCATCTACCAACAGTCCTGGCTCACTGGGGAGATACTAGACGATTGGAAGTTGGTGAATGTCACACCCATCCACAAAAAGGACTGGAAGGAGGACCCAGGAAACTACAGGCCCATCAGCCTGACCTCAGTGCCTGGCAAGGTTATGGAGCAGATCATCCTAAGTGCAATCACACAGCACCTATAGGATGGACAAGGAATCAGACCCAGCCATCATGGTTTTAGGAAGGGCAGGTCCTGTCTGACCAACCTGATCTCCTTTTATGATCAGGTGACCTGCCTGGTCGATGAGGGGAAGGCTGTGGATGTGTCTGCCTGGACTTCAGCAACGGGTTTGACACTGTTTCCCACGGCATACTCCTGGGAAAGCTGGCAGCCCATGGCTTGGACAGGGGCACTTTCTGTTGGGTTAAGAACTGGCCGGAGGGCCGAGCCCAGAGAGTGGTGGTGAACAGGGCTGCATCCAGTTGGCAGCCGGTCACTAGTGGTGTCCCCCAGGGATCAGTGTTGGGCCCAGTTCTGTTTAATATCTTTATTGATGATTTAGATGAGGGGATTGAGTGTACCATTAGCAAATTTGCAGATGACACTAAGCTGCGGGGGAATGTCGATGAGCTGGAAGGCAGGAGGGCTCTGCAGAGGGACCTGGACAGACTGGAGAGTTGGGCTGATTCCAACGGGATGAGGTTCAACAAGGTCAAGTGCCGGGTCCTCCACTTGGCCACAACAACAACCCCTGCAGCGCTACAGACTGGAGACAGAGTGGCTGGGGAGCAGCCAGGCAGAAAGGGACCTGGGAGTTTGGATTGACAGGAAGCTGAACATGAGCCAGCAGTGTGCCCAGGTGGCCAAGAAGACCAATGGCATCCTGGCCTGTACCAGGAACAGTGTGGCCAACCGGTCCAGGGAAGTGATTCTTCCCCTGTACTCAGCACTGGTGAGGCCACACCTGGAGTGCTGTGTCCAGTTCTGGGCCCCTCAGGTCAGGAAGGACATTGAGGGGCTGGAGCAGGTCCAGAGAAGAACAACAAGGCTGGTGAAGGGACTCGAATCCTATGAGGAGAGGCTGAGTGAGCTGGGGTTGTTTAGCCTGGAGAAGAGGGCGCTCAGGGGAGACCTCATCACTCTTTACGACTACCTGAAAGGAGGTTGTAGCCAGGTGGGGGTTGGTCTCTTCTCTCAGGCAACTCTCAGCAAGACAAGAGGGCTCGGTCTTAAGCTGTGCCGGGGAGGTTTAGGTTAGATATTAGGAAGAATTTCTTTACAGAGAGAGTAATCAGGCATTGGAATGGGCTGCCCAGGGAAGTGGTGGATTCTCTGTCCCTGGAGGTTTTTAAGATGAGACTGGATGTGACACTTAGTGCCATGGTCTGGTAACCACAGCAGTAGTGGATCAAGGGTTGGACTTGATGATCTCAGAGATCCCTTCCAACCCGGCTGATTCTATGATTCTCCTTTTTGTTCCCATCTGCTCTAATTTACCTCAGAGGTGATCGCTGAGCTGTGTCTGGGTGACCCTCATCAGACCTGCTGCTGACTCAGCTTCCAGGCTTGGCCTCAGACTTGTCTCATCACCACACACTTCCCTGAGGATCTGGATCTTGGTGAAGCCTCGCTGCCTTCACTGGCTCTGCCCTGCAAACCTTGAGTGCTGGGGGCTGGATTGTAGCCTGGTGAGGTCCCTGCTTTGCTGGCCGTGGGATCCCCTCAGCGCCTGGATCACCTTTCCTTAAGCCGAGGCACAAACTGTTATTTTTACGCAATTTGATTTCCACAGGACAGAAACACAGGTGCACAAGGCAGAGGTCACCTCCAGTGAGCTCCAAATGGGTCCCTAGTGTAGGTAATCAAGACACTAAGACTCTCCTTTCTTAAAGCTTATGTGTGGCCTTATGTGCTGCAGACCAAGTTATTCCATTTACCTCCCATGTTCACCAGAGCAGCCCTCTGAACATTTGGCACCCATCCAGCCCAAAGTCCCCGTATTCCTCCTTCAGACAGAATCTTCAGAAATGCATGGTGCACACCCCGAAACCTGAAATCAATATGCAACTAGTAGGTAGACAGCCCAGATACAGAGAAATCTTTGCATATTCCAGTACTTTGCTGCACCTGATCCTTACATAGGATTTATGCAATTTACACCTGCAAGGATCTAGCCCTCTGGATCCATTTTTTGATCCATCTTTGACTTTCATGCCACAATATTTTACCAAACATACTAGTTGCCTTGCTAAGCAGTGACCTGATCTCTAACAGCAGACAACCCTTTGATCCCACACAGGGTTGCAGTAGTAAATGTACAAGACACCAAAAGATGGTAGCAGTTTGGGATGCAAAGAGCACCGTGTCCTGGTATTTGCAGGAGGGTCTCAAGCCCTGCTGTCCGTGCATCCTGCATGAGCCATTTCCCTCATCCTTTCTTCCAGCTTACCATCTTTAGAAGGCATCCTTCCCTCCCCATGGAAATATGGTGGCCTGGACATGCTGCAGCACGGAGGACAGGTGAGAGTTTGTGGTTCTGGGACCAATAAATCAGAATAAGGAAGGCAAGTATAAATGGGATAAGGAGAAAGTCTAATGTCCCCCACCCTGTTCACTGCCCAGAGCCATTGTGTGCTTCCCAGGCACTGCTCTCCCCCTGAAAAAGCAAAGAGAAGCTGGAGAGAGGGAGTGGCAGAAAACAGAGAGAACCACACTCTGGGCCAGAGCATGATCAGTAACAGGAAAAAAACCACCAGCTCTGAGAGGAACCAACCGTAACGGCTTTCCTTCCAACTTCCTCTTTCCCTCCGTCTGCATCTGCACCTTCACCAGATCAGTTGGGCTGGCGAAAAACTGTCCGATGGCACCTGCAGACATGCCTCCAACCACAGCTTTCCTGCCAAACAGGGGGAAATTTGTGCTCCAGAATAAACTGAAAATCTTCAAAAATCACAGTGCTTGAGCTGCAGAGTTCAGCAGCACGACCCAGGTGGAACATGTGTAAATGGTTGCTCCATATACTAATGACCAAAGTGAAGGTAATAATTGTGGTGACTGCAGGTTGTTAATCAGTAATATTTCTGCCAATTTTAAGAAAGGATTAAAACTTGCCTGGGGAAAAAAATCAAGGTTGCATTATGCTCCTCACTTAAGGTTTAAAGGCAGGATGGGAAGGTACACAAGTAAGGGATGATACTCCACATACTACAGCTGAATGCCAGTGTGAAATTCTAAAGTGATTGCTGATATATAAGACTTTTCTTTATCTCTCACTGCTGCTAATTGGGTTGTGTTCATTTTCTGGTTCTATTTATTTTAGTAAAACCAGAAATATCAGTAGTATCCATAGTTCCCCCTTCCTGAGGCACCAGCCATGGCAAGTATTTTGTATTAGATTTTCTCAATCTCATCCTAAAACCAGATACATTTTGGACCCAAGATTTGTCTGCAGGACTCCTTCAGTGAGGACAACCCCCAAACAAGCAATAAATATGCATAAATATGCAACATTACCAGAGAGGAAAGGTTTTATCCTCAGCCCTACAAAGCACAGAGTCACGGAGATGTTCATAAGCAACCATCCGAACACCAGAGTACACTGTGGGAAAAAAAAGCAGGAGACAGTTCTTGGGTCTGCCATTTCTGGAGGTCACACTGTGAGCGAGACATCAAGAGATTGGTTTAAGACACTCTGGATCTCACCTGGGTCAGCTGGTCACTGCCCTCACGTTTGTGAGGGTGTTACCTGGTATCAGTGCTAGAGATAGACTGTTTCAGCATCAGAGAATCTCTCTGGCTGAGCCATGTGTCTGCCAGGAGGCAGCATGGCTTTGCCTTCATCCTAAGGAGATGTGACTGCATTGCCTCCCCCTCAGCTGATGCCAAACACAAAGCGTCCCACAAATACTTTTGAGGTTTGTTGCTATCACCGTATTTCCAAATAAAGTACAGAAAGCTGTTACCTGTGGCCAACCCCCTGATGCATTTCATCTAGAACTTGTATTCTTCCCTAGTGCTTGGAACCTTATCTTTTTTTCCCAGCCTGTCCCCACTTCCCTCAAGTATAAGATATTTATGGTTCTGAGGACTACAGGTGCCTGTTTTGCTTCCTACACAAGGCCTTCCAGCAAAGATGACAGGGAAATTATATTTTGTTTTCCCAGAAGCCAAAATAAGGCATAAGGAGAGAAGGAAGAAACAATATTGATCCAAAATCCCCTATATATTTCAAAGTGGGATTGCAGGCTAGACTGAAGTTCTATCACAGATACATCTAAAATACAAAGAGATATGTCAAGCTCACTTCAAAAGGCTGTTGGCCACAGAAGGCAGGACCCACACTTGTCCCATCACAAGCAGATAATCACCTATGTGGCGGTAGATGGCTGGCGTGGCTCCTTGCCAGAGCTTCCCTAATCCCTCCTCCTGCACTATTCCTGCTGCCGTGCGCAGCATCCCACGGTACGGGGCTGCCTGGCCGGACGCAGCTCCATCCCGATGGACGGCAGCCTCACCTTGGATCTGCAGCCGAGTTTTCGTGAGATCCAGGGGAAATGTCACTGAGGAGAAAGGGCAGGGAACACATGTGAATATGAGTGTGGCTGTGGGGAGACCTCCCACACTGGGAACATCTGCACCAGAACTCCCTGCCAGGCACCACAGGCATCAGGCGCCGTACCTAATGAGTGCAGGAGATTCATGGAGGGGAGAAGATTCACATCGAGAGCTGTTAAAAGCAGCTCTGGGCACAAGTAACCAGATTACATTCCCGTCAAACACCAAGTCTTTCTCCCACATTTCATTTTTCAGATGTGTTATGCAGTATGTGTGCTTTCCAAGAGACTCATGATTAAAAATCCTGTTCCTGTTAGTCCCCCTGAATAAAGACCAGTCAAATCTCTCAGTCGTTCGTGGGGCCTCTCCAATTCTGCCCAGCATAGAGGCAGCACATTAAGGTCAGGAACAACCCCACACTGGCCATTGTAATGCAGATACACATGCAGACTCACCTACAAACCTATCTACAAAGCTGTCCTACAAACCACCCTAAAACATGCTGCTTTTCTGATTCAGAGACTAAAATCGTATCTAGCCTGTTATTTCTCTCACTGAAATAACTGCTGGCCAGAGAAGTAGGTCCAACTTGATTTCAGCTTCCCAGGGCTGCTCCTGAAACAGTATGGATACATGGTTGCTGCACCTCATTTCAGTTACAGGCTGGGAGTTCCTCTCTGGATGAGGGACCTTCCCAGGCTGTCTCAGGTGGTGAGTGCCCAGGAGCAGGGGTTGTCTTTGGTGTGATTCCTGAGCAACACACCAGGGTCCTTCCAGAGCAGGACTCAGGTGCTGGGGGAATGCAGTCAATGCTCAAAGTCTCAGCAGGTTTACAGTCTATTTGTGCATTAGGTTTGGTATTCGTGTTTAAAGATTAGAGAAAATTGAGAAGTTACAAATCATTTAGAGCAACGTAACAGATTTGCCTCTAAGAGCTTGTAGAAATAAAGCATGCTGAAAAATATTCCAAATAAGCTACTTGATCACAAAGCAGTGCTATGCAGATGCCACAGTGCTTCTATCCCACGTTTCACCAAATAGTTTTCAACTCCATTTTTAAAGCCATCTCCACTGTAACCAGTCAGTCAATTTTTGTTTGATTAACTTCCATTAACTATGAAAAGCAAATTTCTAAAGGAATCAGCCCTTGCTAGTAACTTAGGCAACAGATCTCCCTGCCTCTAGTCTTTTCCTGGAAACCCAGCAACAGCAAAGCTTAAACCAGTCACAACTGTTCTGTGTTAATGACTGCAGTCCTTTGGCAAAGATTTCATCCTGAAAAACCCGCCCTCCAGCCACACTCAGGTGACATAAAGCACTTGCAAGGCTTAGATTACAGAAAAGTCACGGTGAGCACAGTGAAATGCACAGATTTGCTGGAGCAGAACACTGAGAAATGGGGCAGCCGGGGACTGACGTTTTCCCTGCCCCCCGTAAGTAAATTTTGACCCCTTTCCCTCTCGGAAAATCAGGATGAGTTGTACCTAGTTCTGCCACAGCCGCTGCACAGGCTGACAGAGCAAATTTGCTGGCTCGGGGCCACCTCTGTGGAAGAGGTAAGCTCTTCTCTTCTTCTGCAGGTGACATCTAGCATCTCACATGAACCGAGGCTCACCAGCCACCCAGGTCTGTCTGGAGCGAGAGCAGACCCTAGCACAGCTCAGTTCTGGGTCGTTTAGGAGATAAGTTGCTGAAGGTCATGTTTCTCCAGCGCCAGCACCAGGAACTGCAGCAGCCCGAGCGGCTCCTGCAGAGCTGGAAGGTCCTTCTGCAGTGACACAAGAGAATCCTGCTCAACAGGCTCCTGGGAAATGTAGTCTGTCCCTGACGCTGCCCTGCGCCAGGAAACCGGTAGTGCAGGTACAGTCACACACACAGTTTTGTCCATTATCATCTGTATTAAAAAGTGTAATCATTAACGAGAGCTCGAGATTACGAGCACATGTGTGGGGGGTGTTTGCTTTACAAGGTGCTGTCGTTGACAGCAGCGCCTCGGGAGCCCCAAACTGCATTCCCATGTCAAACAGCTGCACAGGCATCCGTAAGGGATGAAGTGATACAGTTCTGGTTCAATAAGAACTGCATTAGCAGCAGCTATGTGCCGAGCTGGGGTGATGGAGTGCTTTTAGCAATCTGTGTCTCCTGCGGATTAGGCACGAAGCAGTGCAGCTCGAGATGACGGAAGCTGATCACTGCCCAGAGCCCAATAAGTGAAAAGTTTAAAGCTTTTCCTGGCTGAATGCTGAAGCCCTGTTAATTGTGTGCCGGTCCTAATTTCTCTTAAATTAATGTAGACATATTTAGGTCCTCATCATTCAAAAAAAAAAGGTATGTGCTGTTCGAGAGAGGTGTTTCATTTATCACTAAGGCTCAGCTGAGTCTCTAAGTTAATCATTAGCCATTAGTCAGTAATCCTCATGCTGAGGATTTGGGGATTTTTTAGGTCACAGAGAATTATTCCAGACCACCTCCCCACGCACTTGTTTGACTGCCTGACATTTTGGTGTGTGGTCCCCACTGCAAGGATTCAGACAAATGAAGTGAGCATTGCAGGTGAAATACTCAGCTGATGTCCAATGACTTTATGTCGTCACTCACCAGTAATCAGTATTAAACTCCATCCTTCTTTGGGTTAAAATTCGTTAGAATTCATGCAGTGATAAAGCAAGCTACCGACAAAACCCTGGTTAAAAATGGGAAGAATGCAAACACGCCTGGCTGCAGGGAAGGTACAAGTGGTTCAGAGCCTTTTTCCTGACAGTTCGTGAAATCTGCTGTGGCACTTTGTGCCTCCTTCCAAAACTGTTCTCTGGGCTTGGCCACTACATATCAGCCTGCATATCATCGATTCATAATATAGGCTGGAGAGGACCTCTAGAGGTCACCCACAGTCATCGTACAATCCTCTTCTCAGAGCAGGGAGAGCTTCAGAGGTACATCAGGTTGCCCAAGGTTTTGTTTGGTCACCTGAAAACCTCCCAGGATGAGGATTTCACCATCATCCCTTAGCTGTGCACCTCTGGGTACAGTCTCATTCTGTTTTCTCCATAACCATGTTTTAGGGAGTGGAAAACAACAACTAGATGTCTCCTTAAAATAAACCCCATGGCATTGCAGATGGAAAGAGCAGCTTTTTTATTCTGAAGAAATAGGTTCTTTTTTAAATAAGACTGATTTACGGATGGCAGCAAAGAAGAATTTTGTCTTCTCACAGGATCTTTGAAATGAGCCTGACTAGAGATGGATGCTTGCATGGACAGCTCTGTGACGTATGGAGCAGAGAAAGGCCAGTGCTCATGAAAGTCCATAGCTGGAGTTCATACACCCCAAATCCCAAGGGAGACAGCACCAGCAGAGAGAACCCTTCCTATTCATTTATTTCATTTTTTGAGACTGCATTTTTTTGGTTTCTTTCCAAAGCCAGTTTGATCAAAGGCTACATATGCAGGGAGGGAGTGTGGACTTCAGATGGGATGGGAAACAGAGCAGCAGGGCCTGGTAGGGCTGTTCTCTCTGTGATGGAGAAAGGCAGCCAGACTGCCCAGTCCTCTCAGCTGCTTCTGCAGGTGTTAGTTTACTTGGAAAGGCCACTAACCAATACCTGCCCAGGACTAGGGCCTAGTCTGAGGAAAGCTTGGTAGTGACTATTGCAATGTCATACTGGTTGTATGCTCCTCACATTAGTGCCTTGCAGTCGCATCTCGTGTCCTTCACCACATCTTGCCCCAAAAGCAGAACCTAAACAAAACCAAACCAACAAGAAGGCCAAAACAAACACAAAAGCCTTTAATCTATGTCTTCACGTAGGGCTGAGGGCTTGTATTACCTGTATACATAGATCACTTTAAACTCACTACTCAGTCAGTTAATGAAAATATACTCCAATATTCCAAGGTCTTTAGCTCTCTTATCACTACATAACCATTTGTAGGAAAAAAAAGAATTTAATAGATAAACTAAACCCAGGAAATAAACATACAAAGAGCTGTGATAGCTAAACAAAGAAGTGTAGTGATCACAGTTAACAGTGATTTAGCTGTTTGTTCCAGACAGTTTGTGAAATGGACATCAGCATCGTACTTGACACAGTTGGTATATTTGGGCTTGTTTTTCTGCAGCTATGACTGACAGGTAACAACCCAAGGTATTTCAACATGACTGTTTAATGAAGGACATAGATCTGGTTTTCACAGCTCTTGTGATCTGATGTACATCTGGTTGCTTGAATGTGGAGCAAACAGATGAAAGGCTAGAAAGGGTGAGCAGGGCTTGTTGAAGCAAGGAGTCTGGGCATAGCAAGGAGGATCAGGTCCTGGGACTGAGAAGAACAAGAGATTTGGACAAAGAGCCAGAGCAAAAGAAGACAAAATCACACACACACACCAAAAAAAAAATAAAAAATATCAAACAGTTGAGGCTGGAAGGGACCTGGAGTCTGGCTAGTCCTAAGCCCTGCTTAAAGCAGGGTCACCTCGAGCAGGCTCTAAGGACTGTGTTCAGCTGGGTTTTGAATGTCTCCCAGGACTCCCCAGCCGCTCTAGGTAACCTGTTGCAGTGCCTGACCACCATCACAATTAAAAAAAAAATTAAGCGGATATTTCTCTATTTGTTTATGACCACTGCCTCTTGGCTTTTCCCTGGGCACCACTACAAAGATCCTGGCTCCATCCTCTTGGCACCCTGCCTTTGGGTGTCCATACACACTGGTAAGATCCCCCTGAGCCTTCTCTTTTCCAGACTGAGTTGTCCTGTCTCTCTCGGCCTCTCATCAAATGACAGATGCTCCAGCCCCTTTTTGAACTTCTTGGCACTTCACTGGGCTCACTCCAGTCTTCTCACACTGGGAAGGTTAGAACTGGACCCAGCACTCCTAGTCGATCTCTCCAGCACTGAGCAGAGGATCACCTCCCTCAATCTGCTGGCAACACTCTTCCTAATGCAGCCTAGGGTGCTGTTGAGTGCAAAGGCACATTTCTGACTTGTGTTCAACATGGTGTTCACCAGGACACAAGATCTGCAAAGTTCCTTCCCAGGCAGATGCCTTCCAGGTACATGGGGTTGTTCCCACCCAGGGACAGAACTTGGCATTTCCCTTTGCTGCACTTCATGAAGTCACTTTTTTGCCCTGAAAAGTTAGACCACATGATCCTTGAGCTTCCTTCCAACCTGGTATTCTGTGGTTTTAAGATAAGTCCCTGTTTGCCCATTTTTTCAGCCTGAAAATGGCAGCACACTCGTCTGGGTCTATCAGTGACTCCTCCTGGTTTTATGTTCTCTTTTTGCTAAGGGTGTATGGGGGAAGGCTGTGAGACCACCTCCTAGGGGGAATGTTTTATACTTAATGAATTCTATATGTAATTTTGGTGTGCCACTTCCACACATGCAAAGAAACTAATTTGACCTCTGTACCCTTGTCTTCTGACATTGCAGTGATATAACACGGGTGACCAGCAGGCTTTGAGTTGTCAGTTCAACCTCTTGCTTCTCAGACACTGGACACACATCTAGTCTTTATTGAGATGATCTCAGGCAGGTGAGGAATACCTTTCATAAGGTTTCTCCTTCAGATGATGCCTGCAACAGTTTCTTGCCATCTGACTTGCTGAAAGCTAAAGGTCTCTGAATCACAACCTTTCTGCTTTGTAATCTCAATATTGCCAAAAAAAGTAATTTTTTTTAACTGAAGAAAGCTCTGCATTGCTTTGCCAGTGTCCCTGGCCATGTCCCCTGGCTGCCTGAGCAGCCTCCCAGCAACAGGCACAAAGTCCAAGGACTTGCCACAGCAACATCTCAGTTTTGCAAGCCGTGGAAGTTGGTCCTCATCCCAGAACAGAGCACAATTGGCTCTGCCTTTCCCAGAACAAGGGCTTGTCCGCTGGGCTGTTTGGTGCTTTGACATCTTGTCTCCATGGCAGTGCTCAGCTGGCAGGGCTGATCAGAGAGGCCTATTCATTAACTCGGAGCCCGGGCCAGCGCGGCCACGCTGGTGCCGCAGTGGACTGAGCAGCTGCCGGGGCAGGCAGTGAGCAGGCAAAATGGATCTCACTCTCCTCTTGGCAGCAATCCTGGGGCTCCTTATTGTCAAGGCCGTTTTGTTTCAGCTGAGAAACCCGAGCTGCCCTCCTTGCATCAGGAGCTGGATCCCTTGGTTTGGAGCCGCGTTTCAGTTCGGGAAAGCTCCTCTGGAGTTTATAGAGCAAGCTAGGAACAAGGTAATGTCTGTGGCGGCATTCCTGCTCGTGGGTGTGTGCTCAAGGTGGCTGCCTTCAAGGGTAAAGGCAATGCAAAGCTTCTGCGTTAAGTTTTCTCCTTTCCTGTCACATTTTATAACATCAGGAGCATTTAGCTGGTGAAGAATCGGCTTCGTACCACTAACATCGCTCAGTTGTGGATCTGATCCAGACACAATCTCTGTGCTGTGACTATCCTGCTTGGACCTCTGCTGTTTTGCTTTTGCAGTCTGGCTGCATGTTAATCTTGGTTTCAGATAATGTGGAAAGCTCTGTGCCAAGCACGGGGACCAGGAAACTAATTATTTGCATGCCTAAAGTTAGGTGAGATTTTTGAGTACCAGCTGGTGTCCCTCAGCATTCAAGAGAGACACAGACATGCTTGGAAGGGCAATGTTTTCCATCCTAAAAAACTTACCAAACACGAGTGTGAAGATTTACCCCCTGGACATAACTTTTTTTCTCTGTGTCTGTTGGATAAATACCAAATGGTTAATTTAGGTTAGATGCCTAATTTCTAGGTAGCTAATAATAACTGATATAAAAAAACAGTTTCCCGCTTTCATTCAGGGATGATATCACCTGCTACTGCAATGTAGGCAAGCCTCGAGTGTTCCATACTGAAGGATCACACAGCCCACTGCTTGCAAAAGCTGGCTAAAAATGAAACTGCTGTAACATCCTGAAATTTAAAAAAAAAAATAAATAAGAAAACCAACCAAACAAAAAAACCTCAATGCATACATAAATATTGGATGTTTAAAATTTGCTTTTTCATTTTCAACTGTTAGATTTCATGTTTGTAAGTGCTTCTTTACAGTCGTTATTGTTATAAACTCATGGCGTTAAATGAAAGCAGAGGTTTATAATTTTTGAGAACATCAGGTGCCGTCAATCTTGTATTACAGCACATTGGGTTCACCATGGGGTAAGATCATGTGTATGATCTGGAGTTCCTTGGCTTCCTTGTGCTTAATAGGCCAGTTTTAACGTTATATTACTCTGTATTTCCTGTATCTTTCATCTATGCACACCATGATCATTTATTTGTTCATTCATCATAGGGCAGAAATGTTCATGGCTAGGCTTCGCGAACGAAGATTTGGGAAGGCTCTATCCACATTTGCTACAGGCACGCTGGTGGCTTATGAGGCCAATACGTGACAGACATATCCGATTGCAAAAGGCACAGCAGAAAGACTCCTTAGATGGTGTATTCTGCAATACACGGTTCTTTCTGCGTTGCCTTTTTTCCTCGAGAGTGATCCTGCGTGTGTTCTCGAAGGAGACAGCTGCGTTATAGATGGTGTGTCTCCAGGCCTCCTGATTTGAGGCCAGAGTAGACCAGTTATGGTGATCAATATGGCCAAGGCTGAGATGTTGTTTCAGGGAGTCCTTGTATCTTTTCGTTGGGGCTCCTCTCATGCGGCAGCCAGTGGCAAGTTCACCATAGAGCAGGATCTTAGGGAGGCGGTGGTCCTTCATCCTTGAGACGTGCCCTGCCCATCGCAGCTGCGTTCTCAGTAACATGGCCTCAATACTTGTGACAGCTGCTTGCTCTAGAACAGAAGTATTGGTCACATAATCTGACCAGTGGATGTTTAAGATTGAACGGAGGCAGCGTTGATGGAAGCGTTCTAGGAGACGCAGGTGGTGGCGGTAGATGACCCATGATTCGGAACCATATAAGAGAGTAGACAACACTATGGCTTTGTAAACACTGATCTTGGTGCTTTTCTTCAAGTGTTTATTACGCCATACTCTTTTGTGGAGTTTTCCAAAAGCACTGTATGCCTTTGCTAACCTAGGGCAGAAATGTAGTACTGGAAGAAAACTCATTCCAGCCCGTTCTCCTCCTATTTCAGAGACCATATAATCCTTTAAATAAACTGATCAAACCTCACTTATATAATCCAGTCATAACATTCTTTTACTTTTCTGATATGAGGCTGTTAGAGAACCTCCCCACCCTGTTCTGTTGCAAACACATCCTGGTGGCAGCCAAATTAAAGCAGCCCGCCAATCTGTCCTTTCCAGTGCAGTCCCTTTTGGGGGCAGCTGTTTCACCATGACTTAAGCTTCCTTTAATTGCCTTTTTTTTTTCCCCAGAAGCTTGTAGCAAAATCTCCTGGGTGAAATTTTAAAACAAACCTGGCAGAAGAGTCCTTTTTGGGAGCTCATTCACAGACTGAATGAGCAAAGCATTTACATGTTTGTATTGATGTACAAATGCACACTTAGAGGCTGTGGGTTCGTTAATTTAGGAGACCCTATAGGCTTCTGGTGGTGCTATGGCAGCTGCTGACACATCTGAGCACATGAAAAACACCTGAAGGACTTTGTAAACCCCAGGTTTTGTTGGGACAGAAACTAGAACAAGAAACATTTTCCATGGGAGAAAACTCTAGATATGGCAAAGAAGAAGGAAAAGGCTTTCTTACATCTCTCCCCTTTGTTTTTGTGTTTGCAGATAGGACCTTTCCTTTGACTTTGTTTTTAGTCCAGCAACTCAGCATCCTTGTGATCTCTCCCTGAGGTGCCCCTGGGCCAAGAGGGATGTCTCCATCCACACACCCCCCTACAAGGCTGGCTGCAGCAGCAGCATCTGACAGTCCCCCTGTCCCTGAAGAGGGCTGCTTTTTTGTTCTCCCCTTCCTCTCCTTAAACACTCCAGGCATTGCAGAGTCTCCCTCTCTTTCCACCTCCCACGCTGGCAGGCTGTGCTGAGGCCAGGAAAAATAAGCCTTTTCCTGCCTGCTCCCTTTTAAAGGAGTAGGCACTCTAGCAGAATACAGCCAAACAAAACACATGCTGCTGCCAAAGGGGTCATTAACAGGCGCTGCAGGGGTTGCAAAATACATCGGCAATAATTCCAGGCTCCTTAATATTGCCAGAACAGTTAAGTGTCCTTAGCACAAGCAAGCTGCCCTTGTAAAAGGTGGTGCAGAAACAGGCTCTAGGCAGTGAGAAACCTCTTCAGCTCCATAGGGTCATTACCTTCAGGGGAGACTCTTGCAGTTAGAAAATTCCTCCTCTGGATAAATCCTTCAGCCTGTCAAAGTGACGCTCATTTCTTTCTTAATATCTTAATTCCTTTCTTTCTTAATTCCTTTTCTGTCTATCCTTCACTGCTTTCTCTCCCAAGCCCTGGAATAGCACAGCAGACTTCCACTACTTCCAGCCTGCACTTTTCTTGAAGTTTGCTGCTTCTATTTTCCTCCTACAGAAGAACCCGTGGGCTGGAAGAATTGTCTGGTTTCCCCTTGTGTCATTACTGGGACTAAGAAAAGCAAGTTCCCCTGCTCAAATAAAATATTTAATCTCTCATCTAATAAAAGATACCACCTCTTCCTCCTAAAGCTGCCTGGCTGGTTAAAGCAGTTTTGCAGGTGGTCTGGGATGGGTAACCAGGGTCACTGTGCAACATAAAATACAGGGAGAGCTGTTAATGAGGAGTTCAAAGGATGAAGCTCCCCACTTTGCCTGGCAAACATGACATGAGTTAGTAAGGAATTTCAAATTCTTCTTATCAGTTTGCTTATTAAGCTAACAGGAAAAGTTCAGTTAAACCCAGGAGATTGTTCTGCACTGTTGTAGGGACCTGTGGGATCCATACCCTCTTAGTGTATTGACTGCTTTTGGGACATGGTGCCATGTCTCAGGACTCATCAGATGCCTCTTGGCCTTACTGTCTGTGTGTGGCTGGGCAAGTGATGGCTCGCTGGGTTACAAGGCAAGGGACATGAGGAGGGGAAATAGGCTGGACAGGAGGACAAGGCTTCTGGTGGAGCATTTCCATAGTCAGTGTCCACAGCCCAGTCCCTGAAAGTCTGTGGCCCTGGTCCCATGCAGAGAAGACCAAAATGCTGGAGTTCCTGAGATAAAGAGGGGTCATGGCACTGATCTCATGTGTGTGGGTGCGTGCCAAGGGAGAGGAAACCCACCCAGTGCTCCCAACTTCCAGCACGACTCTTGATGCAACTGCAGCTGTCCCAGCTGAGAGTAGTTGTTCCCTGACTGTCAGTGCCCCATGGAAAAATGGTTGTTTCCCTGACTTCCTTCCTTTGGGATTTTGGAGAGCATCCTTCTGAAGTTTTTATTTTTCTGTAGAGAGAAATAAATTTTTATCTCTCTGTGAGAGATCTTCCTCTCACCATGGCACTGCAGTGTCTCCCAGTCTTTGGAGAAAACAGAGCTTTCATGAGTGAAAGCAGTAAATCTTGAGAGGGTTTTTATTTTTCTGTCTCTGTAGTAATCAGAGTCTAGTTGCTATTAGTTCAAAATTGATTTTATTTTAAAATTAGTTTAAATACATTGTAATGTTAATATAAAATTTAAAAATATTATTTTAAAACAAGCAGAGTACAAATTCACTAATTTTTAGCCAGCCTGATAATGAAGACCTGGACATAAAATAGCAACCTTAGAAATTTAGCTATTATAGAATCACAGAGTCATAGAATGGTCTAGGTTGGAAGGGTCATTAAAGCTCATCTTGTTTCAACCCCCCTGCCATGGGCAGGGACACCTTCCGCTAGACCAGGTTGCTCAGAGCCCCATCCAACCTGGCCTTGAACACTTATTATTAAAACAATACTTTATTTATTATCACCCAGAGGGTCTGAACAGTCATTCTTTCTTTAATAATTTACAGTTGAAGGACACAATCAAAATTCAACTGATGTCAAGAGGAATATTTTCTTGGCTTCAAAGACCTTTTGATGAAGCAGACTTTAAATACAGACACAGACAGCAAAAGAAATGGTTACAGTCAATGGCATAAACCATGTGAGCAAGATGGAATGATTTTTTATGCCTACATCTTGCAGACAGTAGATACTGCACATCTGTTTTCTAGTTTAGAGTATTTCCAAGTATCAGTGAGCATTTTCATAATGTAGGAATTCAGAAGTGAATGTCTATTGCTGAAAGTTTTGAGAGGGCTCTAGGATATTAGATTAAGGGAAGATGATAGATGAAAGATGAAGATGGAAGAATGATTTATGGCATCAAAAACCTTCCCTGAATGTAAGTCAATCTGTTCTGCTCAAAGCTTGTTAGCTATTTCGATAATTATCTTTCAACATCTGTAAAAGAAAGAAATCATTGGTAAGAAAAGGAAAAGAAAAGAAAAGAAAAGAAAAGAAGAGAAGAGAAGAGAAGAGAAGAGAAGAGAAGAGAAGAGAAGAGAAGAGAAGAGAAGAGAAGAG